CTGACAATCAGCATATGGGACTCAAAAAATTAAAATGGGACTACAACATTAAGCTTCCAGGCTTCATTAACTAAGGAAAAAAGTCTGAAATTTCACAAGTACAAATTTACAATGATTAATAAAGATACACTCCTTTGAAAGGTGATCTATGAATTATAACCAGTGAGACATTAAACATGTTATCATCCAACGATGTTCGGGTTTTGGTTTGCTGACTTTGGAGTATATTTCAATCACAGAACTCAAGTCAGTGGCTTGTCAACTGAGACATTTCTGCGAACTCAGACTTTGAAGTTTTCTCTGTGACAGAAATATCACTCGTGATAAATGTTTAGTGTGATGCATGGGGAGTTAGCACAGAAGCATAAGAACAACTGAAGCTATATGCATAAATCTGTGTGTTTCATAATAATTTTAAAAGAATTCTTAATCACAGCAGCCAATCTATAAGGGACCTTGACCTGGCCTGTTTCATCAATGTATAATTGGGCAAGTTACCTAACTACCAGTAGCCAGGCAAAGAATCCTTCTTTATCATTAAAATGGTAGGAAAGGGAGGTTAGCCACAGAAAACATTGAGGCCCCCTTCTCTCTAGTGGTTAACTGCAAACACCATTGAGGACACTGGGGGCAGGCAGTGTGGCCAAGTGTTTTCTCTGCCACTTTTGGGGAAAAAAATCTTACCACTAAAGCTATTGTTGAGAAGTCTTGACCACTTAAAATACATCCACATCATTCTTACCTGCTTCTAGAATCTCAAGTTTACAGTTCTTTTGTGATTTTCCAAAAAGTCCTTGACAGATATATTTGAGGTGAAGCAGAACTGGGGACACATACCTAGAGTTGTCACAAGAAATCTGGGGGCTGTCTGACCAGAAATTCCCAGTGCATGTGCACAGTATTACCTACAAGGTAGACATTCAATAAAGCCTTGCTGAATGAATGAATGCATGCATTAAAGAACAAGTGAATATTCCAATTCTATACTACTTGAGTGAAGAGCCTTGGATTTCTGCATTCATTCCATCATTTCACAAACAATTATTTAATGATTCCCAACTTTGGGTTGAGCCCCACCCTGGGACGTGCCGAGGATCAGAGACACGTGCAACACTCTTCCTAACCTCAGAGACGTGACCGCGTGGCCGAGGGGACCTGTGCTGTTAATAAAATGGAAAAGTACAACTAAAGACTAATGGTTTAATTGTGAGGTAGGGGCAATCATACATATGTTAAACAATCAGACAACAACCTGTTATAGGGGAAGGAACTGAACTATTCACTCCCCATCACAAACCTCCTTAAAGTAAATTCTACTTTTTTTCTGAATAATGACTGCAACATTACGTGGTTACTGCACATTGCCCAGAATAAGGCAGGTGCTCAATAAATGAGCTGAATGAATGAATGAATGAATGATGGTCATGTGAATGGAATGTCATTTTCCCCCCAGGATATAACTTGGTAGAAGTAGAACAACTCCATGTTTCTGTGTAAGTCGTTGAACACCTACATTTTTTTTCATATAATACTTGCTTACTTCTACAATGCTGTTCCCCTTTGCCTAGCATAGTTGAATTAGCTAAACATCATATCCCAAGGAAAACAGTCATATTTATACAATACACAATGATTAACATAATGGGAACAAGCAAACCTATAGATTAAATAACCACCTTAGGTAAATATCTACCCCATCAAAAAAAATCTGATAATAAAACAGTTAACTAATACATGTATAGTGATAACACAATTTAAAGAACACAATTGCCTCCACCTGTTTAATCTTCATAACCGGTACTCTGCAATAGGTATTATCATTCCTACTTTAAAGATAGAGAATTAAAACACAAAGAGCTTTAGATGACATTTCATAGATCACGAAGCTAAGACAGTGGAATCAGGATGTGAGCCAAGTTATAAAATCCCAAGGGCTTAAATCTGAGTGTCAGACATATCTGTATGGGAATTACGACCTTGCTGCCCCACAACAGCGTGATGGTGGCCAAGTCATATCACAGCTTTGAGTTTTAGTTCCCTCATCTTAACACAAGTGCTTCTTTTGAGGCGTAAATGACAGGACACCTAGTTCAGCATATCAGCGGCATGTTATAAACGAGAGTGCATTTCCTCGCCCCTCCTCTGTGGTTTCCTCTATGCGAGGGTGCCTGACAGAGGAGTGGGAAAACAATTTCCACCGCCTTAGGTACCACAAGTCTACTAAAATGGAAAAACGTTTATAAAAATATAGGACTGAGCTAAACTCTTCACTACTAAGCAATGATATCAAATCACACATCTTTTTGGAGTACCCACCACTATTGGCATGAGAAGTCAGTATGTACAGTTAGATGCTTAAAAATGTAACTCTGTTGATGCTTTAGTATCAAAATCTATGTTTTCATACTTAGAAATGAATAGTAAATTTCGCCAAATCAGGCAAAGGAGGTTATCTAAACTACCTTAGCCATTCAAAACAGGAGGCATTCCTGAACGTAATTTATTCAGAAGCTCAACAGGTGGATTTTTTTGCTTTCCAGTAGGAGTCGCTGTAAACAAGAAATTTAATTCATAAACGAAACTAATGTTGGTGTTTAGTTGGTAAATGCATATATGTGGATTCTTATATTAAAAAAAATTAATAAACGGTGATAGCTTATACCTAAGGAGGGGTTAATGTTTAATATCCAACTTAAACTACAATGACAAAAATCCCGATTAGGTATGAGAACAACTTCATAAAAGATTTCATTATCAAAAAGAGAGTGCACACACACACATTGTAAAATTAACTTTTCCTGATGATCATAACTTGAGACAGCCTTGCAGAGTGAATACCAACAAAATTCCTCTACGTACGGTGCTATATTTCTGTCTTTGTATTAAGATTTTCAGAAGGTAAAATAACTATATTCCCTTAAAAAGTAAGATTTTTATTTTTTAAATGAATTTCCTCAACTGGAATCCTAATTATCTTAAAATATTTTCAAAATACACATTTATCAGGAGAAAATACTTATCTCATATAAATATATTTGTTAGATAAATATAAAAATATTTATATGAAGTAAATCCATACTACATGAAGAATTGAGATAAAGCACAGACCATTTCAATCTCTCAGTGGCATAAACTTATTCCCTTGGCACCATTTAGATATTATCAGGTACGATAGTTTTAAGTATTTGTATTGTTCAACTATAGACAAGTTTAGTTTAAAGATGCTTTTATTATAAAGTATCAAAATATCAGCACAGACTGTGAAATCTAATTTCTATTTGTGTTTTTATCAGTGACTTCCTATTGTTATCTTGAATTGGCTACTTTTATATGCCTGGGTTCATATGTAGACATCCAAATGCTTTATCACATGATCAAATACTTCTTTTCTCCCTGGCTGGTTAGATAGCTTGTAGTCATATTGATTATAATGTAATTCACATTGATTACTAAGGTACGCAATGTGGACTTCTGTTTTTAACCAGACTTCTGTTCAATAAGTATTTGCCTTCTACCTTTCTGTGGCAGTATTTCTCTTCAGAAGCAAGAGGTTTCTCATTTTGCTTTATACGATATTATAAAAACTCACAAAGACATATATTGTTTTGGTGACATACAGTAGCATGCAAAATAAATGCAAAAACTAGGTTCCCAAATTCTTGTTTCCAGTTAGATCTGGTTAGAGTCATTTTCCCACTTTTCCACATATTTTCTCATTTCTGGAGTAAAGAATACAAATATGTTATTACCCATATGAACAAGGCATCTTCTACAAAATTCCACAAGCCAGAGATATAAAATGGTATTACCCTGTACACTGGGGAACATGTATTTAATGGCATGTGTGATACAGTAAAGTGAAACAGTAAGTTTAAAGACCAGAATATATAGATTTATATGTTTAATTGCAATGGAAACTGTACGCTTGACTCAAACTGAAGTTCACTTCTTCCTCAATTTCATGCAAAGGCCTGTAATTGCAA